TTTTATACTTATACCTATTATCTTGTAAGCAATAGACAAATCAAATCAAATAAATAAATAAAAATAGAAGCGTCCGCCCCCTCGGGCGGGGATCCTGGCCCCCCTCCCTCCCGCGAGGGGTGGGCGGAGGTGGCAGCTGAATGGGGGGCGGGCGGGGATGAGCGGGGCTTCATAAGGGGCCGTCCCGCCCGGGGCTGGCAAGTCGAGGTTCCTGGAGAGCACCATGGCGATGGGCACAGCACTTCTGGGGCTCTTCGCTCTCCTGCTCGGCTGCTCCGGCACCTCAGCCGAACCCCGAAACTCGGAGCGCTTCCCGCGGAAGGTAAGAGGCGGGGTGGCGGGCAGAGGGTCCCAGCCTCCCTCGTGGAAATCTCCCGCTGCCAGGCTCTGCTGGGGTGGGCCGCAGGTGCTGCGCAGAGGGTGCCGCTCCCTCGCGGTGGGTCGCACCCGGTCCAGTCGCGCCGAGCGCCAGAGCCTCTGGGTCCCTGACGGCGGCCGGGCGGCCGAGCGTTTGCTCCTCTGCCGCGACTTCGGCAGGCTGCTCGCTGGGCAGATGGCAGGCACCTCGACCGAGGGGGCTTCGGGATGCCGGCCCTCCCGGCGTGGGCAGCCCGGGGGATCGGGCGCGTGGGAGCAGCGGGAGTTTTCAGACCCCCGGAGAAAAGGGAGTCAAGCAGACTCTCTCGCCCAGCGCCGTGACCTGTTTTCCTCCCCCTCCTTTAGTGCGCCCTGACCGGCAACTGGAAGAATGACCTCGCCTCCACCATGCAGATCGGCAGTGTCAGTGACTCGGGGGTGTTCAGCGGGGTCTACCTAACTGCCGTCTCGGCCTCCTCCAGTCGCATCCGGCCATCCCCTCTGCAGGGCGTCCAGCACCAGGTGGACCAGCGAGCCCAGCCCACCTTCGGCTTCACCGTCAACTGGAGCTTCTCTGGTAGAGCCACCCACTATTTGGACTGGAATCAAATAGAATGGGAGGAGGGAATCTAGTGGATCTCCCCTTCCTTAGATCTGCCTCCTGCACATTCTTTCACTGAATGCCGCCCCCCACGGTCCCCATTAGCTGGAGCTGCCAATCAGTGACCAGGGTCTTTGTGGGAAATATATCCCTCCCCCAACTGAGTCTCTGGCCGATTCCTCCCACAGAGTCCATCGCCGTCTTTACAGGCCAGTGTTTCCTGGATGGGGACGGAAAGGAGCAGCTGAAGACCACCTGGCTGCTGCGTGAGGAGGTGGAGTCCGTGGCAGAGGATTGGGGGGCAACCAAGTAAGGAAAAGCAGGGGCTGAACTGCTGTGCCCCTAACTGGAAGGGCCCTGGGGAGTTTTGCTGGGGCACCCCTTTTTTCTCTCTCTTTCCTTCCCCTCCCCAAGGGGCTCTTGAAAGGATGCACCAATGGCTCCCATCCTTTCAAGAGTTGTTTCAGCACCCAGAGCTGAGTAGCTCCTGCGGGACTGGCAGGCATTTTTAGTCCACTAGACTGGAAGTTTCTGCCACTTCCTCCCCAAAGAAACCTGCCAAAGCTTTTGAGGAGATTCCTCAGGTCATCCTCACTGACAAGCTGTTGAAGTGTGGTTTGGGTAGCATCACAGTCTGGTGGGCCCACAGCTGGCAACACTCTGAAAGCCGTTGGGTGGAAGGAGGGAGTGGGGTGGGGGGTAGCATGCTCAGTCGGGGGGGACAGCAGTGATGCCACCATGAATTTTGAAATTTTCCTCCTTCCTGCTTCATGGCAGGGTTGGCACAAACACTTTCTACCGCACCAAGTGAGAGGGTGAAGAGAGCAAGGCTTCCACGGTTCCTGCCTTGGTGGGGGGGGGGGGAGCCTTCCTTCCTCCCCATCAGCCGCTCTTCCCCAATAAACTCTTTTCCTGAGCAGCCTCAGCCTCCCTGCTCTTTCAGAAGCTCCCTGGGTGCCAGTCTGCAGGCTTCCCGCAGATACTGGGTAGGAGGGTGGGTTCTGGGGTTCTAGAGTTTCTACTTGTCTCTACTACTGCTCTACTATTGCTCTGGCTTTACACAGCCTTTGGCCCTTGAGGACTATTGGGAACCTGCAGCTAATCCACTGAGGATCTGGCCTATTAATTTATTAACAAATTATTAATGGGTTTTTGCAAATGAGCAATGAATTGGCTTCACCCAGAGCTGGTCCATCTTAATTACTTTGTCTGCACGTTGCTTGATAGAGTCATAGTTAGAACTAGCAGTTAGCTAACCCCTATTTCCACACTTACTTGAAGCCAAAGAAATTCACCAGAAACGGTCCAGTCACAGGAAAGTGGATTTGCAACCATGCAGAAGAATTTTGCAAGTGTGGCCATTAGTGTCACAAGGAAAAGTAACGTGGCATTTGGCCAGGAATGTCTGGGCAAAGGCCCAAAAGCAAAAAGCTCAATGTTAGCATGTCAAAAAACAACCCGAGAAGTGGAGAGCTTATTTTATTTATTTGTTAAATGTTTATGCCGCCTATCTCGCTCATGCAGTAACTCTGGGTGGCTTACAATGTAATAAAAGTTAAAAAGTGCTAAAAAGAATTGAGACTAGAATGAAAAGATTAAAAGTTAACCAAGATGATTGGCAGCCGGGGGGTGAGAATCCTCTCTATTCCAACAGACCCCCCCCCCCAAGAAGTGAAAGGCTGAGGCACAACTGGAACAGATGCTGTTCCAAGGAAAGATAAAAGCAAAGGAAAAAGGGGTTTTTTTGGGGGGGGGGCTGGGTCAATAGTCCAATGAAGAGGAAGGGAGGGAGGGACCCAGGATGCCATGGGTGAGTTGAAGTCTCCAAGCCAGGTGACATTATATGTCTGACTTCAGCAAAACATTTGACAAATATCAATGAAATCCTGGTAAAGAAGAAGGTGACCTGTGTAGACCATTAAATGGATACAGAGCCGATTGAGCAATCAGACCCAAAAGCTGGGGGTGGGGGGGTATTAAAGGCTCCAGATCTGATTGGAAGGAAGTGATGAATTGCAGGGCTCCGTTTTAGGCCTTGTGCTATTTAACATATTTATAATGAAGTTAGTTCAGGAGTTAGAAAACATAATCTGTTTTGGACCTGATACTTCACAGGGCAGAAGGTAGATTTCAAAGGATCTTCAAAGGCCGGAATAATGGGCAAAAATAAGGATGATTAATTTCAACAGGGATAAATGCAAAGTCCAACATTTGTGTAGAAACAAAAAGGGTTTTGTTAATGAATGCAGGATGGCAGTAGTATTTGGCGAAAGAATCACATGGACGTGGATGGATCCCAAGTGAAGCCAGCCATTAATGCCAAAGAAACAGTTGAAAGATGTTGCCCTGTGAACATACACACAAACACACACACACACACACAATTCAGGAATCAGAGCACAAAGCTAGAAATAGGTAGGAATAAAAAGTGGGGGAACAATACTGGTGTCAACTCATAAAACATTCCTAGGCCTGTTTTAGTAGTTGCCATAAAAAGTGGGAGGGGGGAGGAAGGACATCTGGAAGAACAGTTGAAAGTGAAAGTACACTCCAACTCTTTATCTTTAAAAGGTTGTAACTAAAATACCAGAGTTTTTGCCTGTGAATATATTGAATTGGAGAACGTGAATGAGGACACCCAGCCTGTGAAGGGGCTCAGTGGGAGAATCTGGTTGATGAGACACCCAGGGGGGAGGGAGGGGGAAACAGGAATGACGTAGGCCAGAGTTGGCTTCAGACAGGGCAGGGCCAGGATGTTGCCTCAAATGAAGTTTCTTGAAGTTTGGCTCGAGAGTCATGGTTTAATTAGGGTGATTGCTGGAATCCTGACAACTGGATCCCTTCAAAAGAGGTTCTTATGGAGCCCCGGAGTGGGCAGAAGACAAGGCCGGGTCTTTCTGCCTCCGATGACCAGAGAGGCTTTCAGAGAGACGGCCAGGGTGGTCAGTTATCCTGGTCCTCCCTTGCTGACAGCCCCCTTGAGTGGGAAAAAGAGCAGGAGGAGCTGCTCACCTGGACCTCATCTTCACCAAAGGGAAGGAGAACGGCTGACTGGACTCCTCACCAAGTGTGAACCAGGGATATCTAAGCAGGCCACACCTGGACAACCAGCAAGGCCACCAATCTAACCAAGAATCCCAGGCCGAGTTCAGCACCTCCGAGCTCCGAGCCGTGGGTGGGTGGGGGTGGGCGGGTTGGCCTCCCCTTTAGACCTTCTCAGGGCCAGCTCTGCTGCCCTCCCCAGGCTGGGCTCCCTTTCCCGAGGCTGCTGCGGGGCGGGGGGGGGAGCCTCCCTCGTTCCCATAGGTGCGCACTGTGGCCCAGGAGGGGCTGATTTCGGGAGGGGCCAGTCGGGGAGCGCCGGTCCCGGCTGCGGAAGTGAGGCGGGAGGAGCGGAGCAATAACGCCGGAACCCAGCCGGCCGCTGCTGTGCCAATAAACCAAGGCTTCTGTTGCCCTGGAAACATTTCCTCCCGCGGCCGGGGAATCCAGGCTTCCAGGCCGCCGCTGCTCTTCTGCCCGACGGGGAATCCCACGGAGGTAGAGGAGCTGCGGGAATTGTGTGTGTGCGTGTGTGAAAGAGAGAGAGAGAGAGACTCCCGCACCCCCGGCGCCCCCCGGCCCCCCCCCCCCCCCCCCGCGCCACTGCCAGACCTCAATTCGCCCTGCCCTCCTCACCGCATCCGCAGCAAAAAGCACCTCGAGGCGCTGGGAAAGAGCTCTCTTGCCCCGCCCGCCGGCAGATCAGATCGCTGGGCCTGGAGGGGCTCGACGGGCCGGCGCTCGTCCCAAGCGAGGCGGCTCTCGCGTTTGCACCCCAAGACGCGCAGCCCAGCGGCAAAAAACCTGTCGGTGGGCCCCGCACCAGCTGCTGGACGTAAAGCAGCCAGAGGGAGCGGGTTCCCTCCAGTCGCCCGCGGGAGAGCCCGGCAACCCAGGACCCCCGGCCAGGCGCGCGGGAGCCGCCTTGCCCTCTGCCCGGCTCCCTTCCCTCCAGCCCTCCCGGCGCCCGTGTCCAGGCCACGCGGCCCGCCCGATCGCCTCCCGCGCTTGTCTCCAGCAGAGCCAGCATGGAAGCGGAATCCATGGAAGCATCGGCCTCGCTGCCTCCGGCGGTGTCCTGGGAGGCGGCGGCGGTGGAGGAAGAGGCAGCGCCCAGCAGCACGTCGCCCACGGCTCGCGAGGTGGAGGAAGAGCTGATCCTACCCGCCTCCACCTCCCTGGGGAGCGACGAGGACACGGTCTTGCCGCGGTCGAGCTCCTTGGAGGGGGGGGACGACCTCCCGGAGCCCTCCCTGCCCTCTTCGTCCGAGTGGCCGGAGCCGCAGAGCGCCGGCCCCAACGAGCCGACCTCCGCGCCCCTCGAGAGCTCCCCTTTCGTCTCCTCCTCGCTCTCGCCGTCGCCGCTCTCCTGGAAGGCGCCCTCCGACGGCCTGCAGCGGCGGCTGGAAGAGGCGGAAGGCCGCGGGGAGCAGGCCGAGCGGACGAAAGCCAAGAAGAAGGGGCCGCCGGCCAAGAAGGGCGCGCCAAGTCAGTGGGAGCCTGCCAGGGCAGCGAGCGGGCCGGCAGGAAACGCGAGCGGCCCCAGAGCAGGGGGCGGCGGGTGGGCGGGAGTGCTGGGGCCGCGGCTCTTCGCCCGGGTGCTGCTTCCCTTCGGCCGCCGGGCTGGGCTGTGGCCTTGGAAGAGCAGGGAGCCAGCAGCGAAGCGGGTGGTCTCTGTCCAGGGTTCCAGCCCAGCAGAGGAGAAAAAGTGTCCCCCCACCCCCACCAGCAGGAACCTCCGGTGACGGGGAAGGAAGGGGGGCTGTCCTTGGGGGGAACCCCGAAGCAGCCTAGCAGTTTCCACAGCCCCCCTGCCCCCAGTTGAAGTAGCAGGCAGGCAGAGAGAAGCGGGGGGGGGGGGCTGGAGGGCAGCAACGGGGGCGAAGGTCCCTCCTGGAACCCAACAGCAGCTGACACAAAGCAACCGGCAGCCCAGATGGGGGGCTGCTCTTCTGAGGCGGGCTGCTCTCCCCACAGGCTACACCGTGAGGACCATCGTGCCAGCCGAGAAGGAAGAGCTGGTGTCGGTGGCCAAGGCCATGCACCGGGAGAAATTCGCCAAGAACGCCAAGGAGCTCTTCCACTTGGAGAAGGAGGCGGCCCTCAAGTCCCTCCAGACAGGTGGGTGGGAGCCTCAGCAGGGACTGTATTCACCCAATTCTGGGCAGGAGGGCATTGCAACCAGGAGCTGCTTTCTGAGCAGCAACCGCCATGCTCTGCTTTCTGCTGGTGAGGAGGAGGAGGAGGAGGAGGAGGAGGAGGAAGACCTGGGCAGAACCCCAAGCCGTTTCCCAGACTGGCATCCGGGATGTCTCCCCTCTGTCCGTCCATCCCCCCCCCCTGCTAGACAGAGGAAGGAGTTTTGAGGCTGCTGGGTGGGAGTTGAGCTGCCTGGGGCAGGGACTGGGCCCTAAACAGCCCCCAGCCTCTGCAAGCCCACCTCCTGAGCCTGCCCATCTGCCTCTCCTCAGGCCTCTACATCGGCTGGCGCTGCCCTGAATATCTTTGGGATTGTTTCCGAGTGGGGGATGAGTCCAAGTGCTTCTGTGGGCACCTGCTGAAGCTGCACCAGGTGTACGTGGGTGAGTTCCCTTGGCAAAGGGGAGTCGGCACATGCTGTGGCCTCTGCCAAGAAGGCCTCTCTCCTTGCCGGAGCCCTTTGCCCACCCCGGCAGCTCAACTGGGGAGACGAGGGAGGAGAGTTCCTGGGCTGGCACAGATTTTCTGAGTTGGCCTAAAAGGCAGAAGCCTCAGCCACCAAATAAGCAGAAAGTGGGGAGGAATCGGGCTGCGCCTTTTCATGCTTTTTCACCCCCCTAGGGGAACACGGCTTTCCTCTGGCAGGATCCATGTTTTCGCTCTAGCTGTCTCTCTTAATGTCCTCAACGGGGACGTCCTTGACTTGCAATGACTATCAACCACACTGCTTGGCGATGGCAATTCCAGGACATGGTTTTACAGCCAGGACTTCATGGTTCGGTTCTGCCACATTCGCCTTTGGTTCACTGCCCCGTCCATCTCCCCCCCCCCGCCCTTTTGGCTGTCCTGGCTCTGCCGTCGCCCCTTGCTTCCTTGGCTGCTGCCAGCTGACCTTCTCCGCCTCCTGCTGGCCAGGGATCCGGGCACTTGAGCGAGGCTGCTGTGCTGGGGTGCACACAGTGAGCACAACAGTGTGGCGGGGCCTGGTTTGCCACAGAGAGCTTGCATGGCCCAGGTGGGGAGGCGGCAGCAGGACAAGGAGCCGTGCTGGCTCACGTGGCTAGGACGCCGAATCTGAAGGCCATGGAGAGGTTGACAGCTGAGCAGCTCAAACCCCGAGACCCAAGCTCTGCGTGACGGAATGAGCTCCTGCCAACCCAGCAGTCCGAAAGCATGAAAAAGGAAGCCGGTGGAAAGGTTGCAGCTTCCCTTGGTGGGAAGGGTAATGGGGACACGAAAGCAGCTCCCTCGGGGTCCCCTGGGCAACGGTGATGTCATGGGCTAATCCTTTCAGACCTTAGAGGTGGGGCGCTCCCTGTTGCCAGGTGAGGTGCAGGTGGAGAGGTGTGGGAGGAGCTCTTGGGGGGTGGAAAGGTGCTGCATGTGTCGGAAGGGCTCCTGGAGAACCGGCCTGAGGGTTTTCAGGGAGGTCCAGTGCTGGGGAATCTCCTCACGGGGTCCCTGCTTGCTTCCAGCCCTGCCTTCCTCCTGCACAGCCTTGAGAGGGTCAGCAGCTCAGAACCCGCTGAAGCCCGCAGGCTGGCTCTCCAGTATCTCCAGGCTGGCTCTCCAGCTCTTCCACTATGCGCCCCGCAGCTCATGGGAGACGCGGCTGGCCATTCTCCAGGGTGCCTCTGGCACATGCCTCGCTGGGAGGCTGCAGCTGATGGGCTTTGCCAGTGCATGGCTGGCCTTCCTCCCTTGCTGAAGTCCACAGGGCAGTTTCCCTGCAACCCCAAACGGCCCAGACGGTGCGCACAATGCGGGGGTCCTCCGGGACTCATGGCTTCCACTGCAGGAGCAGGTGGCAGACATGGCTGGGGAGGCCTTTCACAGCAGGCGGTGCCCATTCCTGGGCTGGGGCCCATTGCTGACAGTCACTCGTGCCTTGGTCACTTCCTGGTGGGACTCCTGCAACACGCTGGGCACGAGGTCATCTTTGAAGATCAGCGGGAAGTCACACTCCCAGCTTCCAGCTTGGTCACGTTACACGGTAGCTTCCGGCTTCCTTCTGGGTACAACCGAAGGGGCCATTTCTGTTCATCGGCCCCTCCAGAAGGATGGCTGCCATTCCATTCCTCTAGCCCAGGTGCAGCGGGCATGCTCCAGCCCCTTGCCTTTTTGTGTGACCCGGGAAGCCGCCCTTGACTACAGCTGCCCCTTTCCCCTCTCGGCCTTCCAAAAGAGTACCAAGTGCTGGGAGGGTTGCTGCCCAGAGGGTCCTTGATGGAGTGGGCGGGGACTGGTTCTTACTTGCTTATTGCATTATGTTTATTGTTTGTGTTGTCATCACTGCTGTCAGGTGCCCAGAGTTGTGTGGCGCAAGATAAGTCTTTAAATAAGTGCAGGACTTATGACCGGTTTCTTAGCAACCATTCAAAGCTATGATGGAGCCCCCAAAGGCCCCCACGACCTGGTCCCAAGGGCTTCCCACGGCCATGTGGCCACATTCTGGCCACTCGGCGGCTGGCGTGGATTACCGCCATTTGCAGCATCCTCCAGCCACGTGGCTGCAATTTACAATGTTTTTGGCAAAAGTGCCCCATAGTGAATAATGGGTTTGCTTAAAGACCACGGCATTTGTTTAATGACTGTGGACTCACTTAACGATCCCAGCGATTGGCCTAATGACGACCACAGAAAATGCTTCTGAAAGGGGACCCGTTCTATGACCCTTGTGACTCATGACTGGCTCTGTCACAGGCATAAGTCGAGGACCACCTGTAGCTAAATGTCCACCTCAAATCCCGGCCTCTTCTCAGGTGGAAGGGGCTCCTCCTTCCTCCAAGGGAGGGTGGAAAGCGAGGCCACCCTGTGCCGCAGGGCCGAATGCTGGGACAGCAGGACCGGCCTCAGGCAGCCTGCACCCTCTTTCCCAAACGGGCAGAAGGCAGAGCAGCCTCTTAAGCGGCCGAGCGGGGCCATTTACCTCCCTTTGGGGGTCACCGTGGCCGGTTCTACTCCAGGGAGTCCAGGGTCCGGGAGTCTCTGGGTCTTCAGAACTGAGCTTCTCTGCTCCCCGGCAGAACATGGTGGCCCTGACCAGCTTTCCGGACTCCCCTCGATCCACCTGAAGGATGCGCGCTTGAGAGGCAGGCCCCCGGAGGGCACCCCCTTTAGTTAACTCACCTACCCCTATAACTTTCCTATTGCCTGATCCAAAGGCCCTGGGCTTTTCAAAAGAGGCCTCCCACTGCGGCTTCCATGGACCCTCCCGCTTGAGTACAGGGGGCCTTTGAAGAGGACTTCACAGGCCACCGTTCTCCTCTGGTCCAAGTAGCAAGTACCAGGTCTTCTCTTGTCTAAAACGAAGCCGAATGCGAGAACGTGAGGGTCCTTTACCTTCCTGCTTGGGGAGGGTCTCCCTGCCCAGTTCTCCCCCCCCCCCCCCCCCCCGAGGAGGCTTTCGGGGCCAGAGACTCCCTGCTTGCTTTGCCGGGTGACCTGCCATCCTTCCTTCTGGTTTCCCCCTTTTGATGGCCAGTCCTGTGTTCCAGAGAAACGAGCCACTGTGCCCTGCACTGTGGCTGGCTGCCGATGCCAGGGATTCCTGTTCGTTCCTTCATGCCCTGAGGAGGTGGGCGAATTCTGGCTCCGGCGAAGAACTGGCTTTGATGTGGCAGCCTGGCGAGCAAAGTGCCGGTGCGCACACACTCACGAGGAGCACGCGCCCACCGGAGCCCGGGCCTGCTGCGTCCGAGGTGAGCGCCCCATTGCCTGCCATCCCAGTGGCTTCTCTGGCCAGTCTTGGCCGCTTCCTCCTCTTAGCGAGCAGGCTGGCTCCTGGCCTCAAGCAGGGAGGATGCACCCAATGCCTTGGGGCTGCCAGGCGACTGCGGAATGCAATCCCCAGTGGCTACGGCTGTCCCCATAAAAGCAGCTTTGGTCCCTACAGAGCTCCTGTGTCCCTTAGCCTGGTCCCTCCACCAGGGCTGATGGCCGTGTCTTGCAACCTGTGTGTGCTTCCCCTCTTCCACCTTCTTGAGGATTGGGGTCGGGGCCCGTCTTTTCCTCAACGGCTGTTTGGGCTGGGTTGAAGCCACCTTTAGGTGATCACTGCTTTGGTAACTGCCCTTCCCCCCTGTCTGCCAAGGCCACCCTCTCCACACCTTTCCCCTCTACCATCTTGGCAAAGCAACAGGGCCGAGCCTGGCACTCCTCCACTTCCAGCCCCCTCTGGACTTATTCCAGGGTTTCTTCATCATGACCCCCATCTCTCACCAAGGCAATGTAATCTCCGGCAAGTCCAGGCACAAATCTGAGCCTCCTCCAGCCTCCTCCCCAGTTGGCATGGATAAGTGACCTTTGGGCTGCCTGCCAATGCCAAAGCGGCACGACTAAGGAGCCCCTCCCCCAGCCACCTGAGGTTGAGGCTGTCTGCTCTGGTCCAGGCACCGTCCCCCAGGACCATTTCACTTGAGGCAGTTACTCCAAAGGGGCTACCCTCACAATCAGTGCCAGCTCAGGATCTTCCGGCAGGTGTTGGCATCCTGCTTGGGGGACACCTTCTGGCTAGGGGGCCAGAGAGTGGAAGGGAGGGAGGGGGAAAGGCCCTCAATCTTGCACAAGGCACCTCAGCCCAGGAGCTGGACTACCAGGGTGTCTTTCCTGTGAGGCTACATTAGGAGAAGCTTGCCAGGCGCAAAGTAACCCTGGCCCTGGCCCGTGTCTGGCGATCTTTCCCACATGCAACTCAGCTGGCCCTCACAACAACTCGGCACTTTTGCAGCAGGGTGGGAAGTCCTCCCCCCGCCCGAAGGGCTCTGCCTAGGCTCCTTCAGGTGCCAGCTTCCTTTCCCTCCCCCGTGCCCGGCTGTTCTGGCCCTGACCTGTGCCACTCCTGCCTGCCCACCAGGCTGCTCCTGCATGGCCTTCACCTCCAGCTTCCTGTGTGCGGCCTGCGACCGACGCTGGGAGGAGCATGAAACCTTCTTTGAGTCAGAGGAGACGCGGCGCAGAGGTGGCCGGCCTTACGGTATGCAGGGGGGGTTGTGCCCCCTCCCCGCAGGGCTTCCTCCAAGTCCTCCAGCTGGGGAGGGGGTGTCTGTCCCTCTGGCCTTTGCAAGGACCTGTCCAACATCTGAACATGGGAGCCAGATCGGGGGCTGCCCCATTTCCTCAGCCTTGGCCCCACGCAGGCCTTTCCCTGGGGGCCCTCCAACACCTGTGGCCTCTCTTTCCCCAGGAGAAGCTTACCTGCCCTTTGTCGAGCTGCCCGAGCTGCGTGGGGCCGTGCTGACGGGGTGCTCTGAGGACCCTTCCGCCTCCTGGGCTCTGCAGGGCCAGGCCTGTGAGGCCCCGCCCACCTCCTCCTTCTCCTCCTCCGGCTCAAGGGCTCTGCCTCTTCCCCCCCCAGGCCCCCGGCGGTTCCTGCAGAAGGACGACAAGAAGGCTTGAGGCGCCCCCCCCTCCCCGCTTCCTGCTGCGCATGGGAGGCAAAATAAAGAGAGAGTGCTCTGCTGCAGGGCTCTTTGTGGCCGTATCCTCTGAGCCACGGGGGGCGGGGGGGGCGCTGGGCTCAGTGGGGATGCCAGGCTGAGGCCGGGATTCTTCTCCCCAGGGAGGGGGCTGGCAAGATCCTCTTCTGTGCCCGGAGAGAGGTGGAGATCCCATGCTCTCCTTGCCAGCCCTACGGGGGGGGGGGGGGACCACCGCCCCCTTTAGAAAACAGCCCCAACTGCTGGGACTGCTCCGCGATGCCCACAGGTGTGTGTGGGGGGGTCCTGCACTCCCCTGGGGCCGTATCCCCCTTCCAGCTCCACTGCTTTTGTGCAGCTCCAGCGAGGCTCCAGCACATCCAGTTGAGGAGCTTGTTAGGATATGTGCAGAGTAACCCTTGTATAAAAAGGATATGCACACGGAAAACAGTTTATGAGAACAGTTATGAAGAAATACACAGCCACACAGAGTTGAACAAGTTGTATTAATGTTTACTTGAAGAAATAGTACAGTCCAATAAACAGTCCATGTCATACACATTTTTAACAGTCCAGAAATATCCAGTTATAAAGTCTTCTTACATCTAGTTATAAAGTCTTCTTACCGGTTGCATGTCTTTTACAGCAGACAAATATCAAACCATAATACAACAAATAACCTTCGATATCAACAGAATATCAAAATAAACAGGGTTAGTCAGTATCGGTCCGTAGTCAGTCAGTATCAAGAGAGATCATCAGTGAAAAAGAGAGAGAGAATTAAACCATGATCTATAGCTCCCTCTTATGGCAACTTGTAGCCTAGTTAACCAGAACACAGCATAATACATTGCAGTATTTTTCCTTAAAGCTACAAACAGATATATTTGTAGTTTATATATTGTCAATCCAATTACGTTATTTACACATACACAACAGAGCTGCTGCCCCCGGCCACTGGGTCTAGCTGGAGGGGGCGGCTGGCTGGCAGCGTTGGGGGGCTTTTCCTCCCTCTAAGAGGGCATCCAGGCCTGCCAGAAGAGCCGTCAGCAGCTGGGCTGAAACGGCCTTTCTCTAGCAGAGGGATGTGCTCAGCACTCGGCTCTCGGCAGAAGCAAAGGAGTGGCTCTTGCCCTCCCTCATTGGGATACGGGAGTTGGAGATGGGGGGGGGGGCGGGGGGTGGAATCGGGAAGGCCCAGAGCTGGACGTCATCCATCCTCCCGAGCAGCACAGGTCAGATCCTGATTCGTTGAAGGGAAGTCTGGAGCTGCCTGGCTGGCTCTGCCCTGGCGGAGCTTTTCACTGACCACCAAGTGGGGGGGGGGCACAAGCCAGGCTCTGGCCAGAGGGTCATTCCACCACAAAGGATGGTCAGTTGACTTTCCCGGGCTGGGTGGCTTGCTTTGAGTCCCCTTTGAGTCAAGGGCCTCCGCCTGGGCTGCCTAGGTAGCCTCCCCACGCCTTTCCCTCTGCTTCTGCCAAAAGAGCCCCTGGTCTATGCCAGCCAACCCAAAACAGAGCAGGGTGTGTTGGTTCGGTTTGCCTCCTGAAGGAGGAAGCAGGAGTTGATGCATCCATGCTTCTCCCGGGTGGGGCATGTTAGGAATTGATAGTCACCTAACAGTTGAGTTGGAAATATATAAACTATGATAGACATTTAATACTGTCTCTTTAAGGCAGGGGTGGGCAAACTACGGCCCGTGGGCCACATCCGGCCCGTTGGTCTTTTTTATGCGGCCCGCCGAAGATTGGTCCGTATGTAACCGCGGTCACTTTATCTATCTATCTATCTATGTTGTGCAAATTTAACTATGACGCCAAACTTGAGTTTTGGAGGGTGTCTCGGAGAAAAAAATAGTTATTTTTCCTACCCTGAGTACGGCAGGCGTCTCTTCCACTTAAAAAACAAAACTCTTTCCTCCCCTCGCTTTGAAAAGGGGAACTGTTAACAAATGCAGTTTTTTATATGTATCGTATCTTGTGCTGACCCGGCCCGTCCGTCAAATTTTAAAAGTCAATGCGGCCCCCGAGCCAAAAAGTTTGCCCACCCCTGCTTTAAGGGAATGCTAAAATTGTAATTGGGTGTGGTTCCTCAAATGGCCATAAGATGGAGCCAGAAACCTGGGTTGTTCTGTTATTGTTAGCTGCTAGTTGTTCTGATGTTCTGATGGTCAATGTTCTTGGTTCCTGCATTTTTTCTCGATTGACTCTTGCTGATCGTCATTCTTCTTGGATTACTGTGAGTCTATTTATTGAACTGTTTATGATACTGGACTTTGTTATTTGGATTATCCCTGGACTGAAAACTGACTGCTTTAACCGTGTATGACTTGGACTGCTTGTTGGACTTTGCTTAACCATTTACTGGAAGTAAAACCTACATTTTACTATTCAGTGTATCTGTGTGCTGGTTGTGTGTTATTCAACATCACTCTCACTATGTTTCCCTGTGTGCACTCATTCTCCTAATGGGGAATTACCTCAACACTGGTTATGGGGCCCAGGCCATACCAGGCTCAGAGTTGGTGTGAATGCACAGTACCGTATACAGACAGCTGTTTACTGTTTAATTGTGGTTTTTTACTATTTTTTACATTTTACTATTCAGTGTATCTGTGTGCTGGTTGTGTGTTATTCAACATCACTCTCACTAGTTTCCCTGTGTGCACTCATTCTTCTAACCGAGGATTACCTCAACAGGGCACCACAGAGGCAGCTTTGCTGTGTTTTAGTCCTTAGCCTTTTAATCCCAGAAAGGCCATTTGGGCTGTGTGAGCAGAGACTCCCTCCCATGCACAGGCCGGGGGGCGGGGAGGGGGGCTGGGAACCAGTTTAGGGAAGATTGGGGTGCCTGCAGAGGACAGGAAGGAGAGGGGCAGCCTGTGAAGCCTCAGAGGGGCTCAGCCTTCCTTCCTGGGGTCCCCCCCTCTGCCTGCTGCACTTCCCTTTGGGAATGGGCTGCTTCGGGGCATGGAAGAAAGTAGTTGGGGGGGGCTTCACTTGGCTGAAAGAGAAATTTGGTTGGGAGCACTGAGTGGTCTGGGTGGTGGGCTGAGCTGCCGCCAAACTGGTCAGCATTGCCTTGATTGGGATTAGGTGATGGGGGGGCGCTGAGGGGCTGAGTGGAAAGGAGGCGCTGAGCCGTGGGGGGAGAAGTGGGGCGCCCCTCGAGGAGTCCAGCGCTGATTGGGGGCGGGGGAGGCGGAGATGCTCCGTGAATGTTTTGCTCTGCTTGCTTCGGCGGGCTGGAAAGGCGCAGCGTGGCGCACAGTTCGCTTCCCTTCGTAGACCTGGCAGCGCTTTTCCCTCGAGAGAAACCGCGACAGGCGAGGGACAGGGGGCGCTGGGGCGCTTCTCTCGGTTGAGCCGCTTTCCCTGCAAGCTTTGCTGCCTTTTGAGTTTAAAAAAAAAACATCCCCGCGGCCGCTTTCCTTCGGCCGCTGCTGCTTCGCCCACCTGCCTGGCCGTCGGTCCTTCTCCGAAGCCCGCGCTGCCTTCAGCAGAGAAGCGCCAAGGGCGGGGGGGGGGGGGGGGGGGGGGGGGGTTGAGATCCGGGGCTTCGGTCGCCTCCGCGGGGCAACTGGCCGCCAGGGGGCGCAGGAGAGAGGGAGAGAGAGAGAGAGAGCGTCGCGCGGCGGCTCTGGGCATGCGCGGCCGGGCAGTCCCGCACTTGCGCGCACCCATGGCGGCCTTCCCCGCCGCGCTGCTGCCGGGGCTGTTCCGCGCGGGGCCGCCCGGGCGCGACGGTCTCGAGGCCGGGCTGCGGGTGGGCGGGTGGGGCCAGTGCGGGCAGCTGGGCGTCGCGGCGGGCGGCCCTGGAGCGCCTCCGCTCTTCGTGCCCCACCGCCTCCGGAAGGCGCGGGAGAGCTGGCTGCCCGCCGAGGCCGCCCCGCTGCCGCTGAAGCCCCCAGAAGCGGCGCCCCCGATCGAGGGCGAGTCCGCCGGCCCGGCCCTGAGTGCGCTGGGCTCGCAGCTGGGGCGGCTCTTCCTGGACGAGCCGGAGGCGGCCTTCGGGGCCACGGCCCGGCTGCTGCACGAGCACGTCTACCTGGGGGACTCCACGGACTGGGTGAGCGCGGGCGGGGAGGCGGCGGCGGCTTTCCCCGGAGCCCTGCGGGGGGGACGACCCCGCCTTACCCGCCGCCCGCTCTCTCTTCCGCAGAGGAGAGCCGGAGGCGTCTGCGGGATGACCCGCTCCCTTCGCGCCCTGGAAGGCCGGACGGGAGGCGGCAGGTCAGTGCCTTTTGCGGCCCGAGCGGCGGGAGAGACCCCGGGACCTGCTTCCCCGAGCCGCCCGCGGTGGTTGCCTCCGCCGGTCCGGCCTTCCCGAGGCATCTGCCGCTGCGGCCGTCGGGTGACCGGCGGCCGTCCCGTTGTCCCGTTTCAGTGCCTCGCGGCCTCTCTCCGGCGTGGCCTCGCTGTGCCGCGACTGGCTGTCCGAGCTGCCCCTGAAGCTGGTGGCCGAGTGGCTCCACGAGGACCTGGCCGAGCGGCGGCGGCGGCTGGCCTTCGACGAGACTCCCACCGGCGGGGCCTTGGCCTGGCTGCCTGACGGCCCCTGCGGCGAACCCCCGCGCCGGGGCTGCCTGGTGTTCCCGGCCGGGGAGGCCGCGGACCGGCTCTGTATCCTGCGGCGCGAGCGGATGGGGCGGGGCGGTCGTGGGCCGCGGGGCAGGCGCCCCTCCCGCTGACGCGTCTTCAGCCCTTCGCAGCAGCAGCAGCAGCAGCAGCGCGGCTCTTCCTTAGCGGCCTCTGCAGGCTTCCAGGAGGCGGCCTTGAGGCCAGCGGCCAGCGGCGCCCTGAGACCCCAACTCCGGGGCAGCCCCGTCCAGTTCGCGCTCAACGGGGCAGTGCAGCAAGTGGCAGCCGCGCACCTGGAGGGCAGCGGTGGGTACAGCGGTCCGCGGGGAGGGGGGGGGGAACCGGCCCTCTGCTGCCCCTGCTCTTCCGCTCATGAAGGGGCCTTTCTGTTCCCTCCGTCCCAGACTTCCTGGGGGTCCGCTCGGCCCATTTCTGTGGGGCCTGGAGGCGGCAGCGTGGAAGGGCCCCTGTCCCTCTGCAGGTGGTTTGCACAGAAGCCCCCTGCTCTTCCATCGCAGTCAGGTGAGAGCCCTCTTCTCCAGGGGGGGGGGGTTGCGGGGCTCATGGAGCTCTCGGCCAGTGGGACACGTGGGGCTATCCTGCTGCTTGGGGGAAGGGTCAGGGGTCCTCTGCCCTTCCCCAGCTCCGCTGTCTCCTTGCAGCCCCCACCTACCTGGCGAGCTGTCCTTGTGCACCCTGGAAGGGGAGCTGTACCTCTGGAATGTGGAGACGGGGTGAGCAAGACTTGGCTGAGGGCCTTCACAAGTGCCCCCCCACTGGAGGACATCGGGGGTGGGGCCCAGAGGTGGGGGAGAGGCAGCCAGAGAGACTAGCCAGTGCGCCAGAGAAGAGGCTCTCCTGGGGGCCTCTGGGGAGGAGTGGGCTTTGCCCCAGCGGCTTCTGGCCGTTGCCCTCTTGCCAGCAGACCAGCTTTTGGCTGCAAAGGGCCAGGGACTGACCCCTTTTCCCACCAGGCTCCGACGGCTGCACCAGGACCGCCACAGCCTCTTCTTCCGGGACCATTCCTCCTGGCGCTGGAGCGAGTTTTCCGCCCACCCACGAGTGCTGACTTTTGCCGACCGCACTGGCCTGAAGGGCCTCGACCAGAGGGTGAGGCTTGAGCAGGGGACCCGTGGGGGGCTGCCGCCCCCTCTCCCTTGTGGGGCGGGGGCTTCTGGGAAGGGCCTCTGGGCTGGGGGGGGGGGCAGTCACTGCCAGCTGCTGACCTTCCTGGCCTGCCCCCAGGTGTCCTCCGGGGGCCACTTCGAGCTCTTCAAGGTGGGGGCTGAAGCCGGCTGCCAGCGCGGGGAACGGCTGCTCCTCTCCAAGTACCTGGGCCATTTGGAGCCCTTCCAACACTTGGTGGCCACGCAGGTAACCTTGGGGGGGGGGGGGGGCGCTGGTCTTTGGGGGCTGCTGTGGGCGCTTTCTGTTGTGCAGTCTTTGTCTGGCCCAGGAGCCTCAGCCTGGGCATCCCCCCCCCGCCCCCTGGGCTGGTACGTTTCCTTCCCTGGCTGTCCCGGCTGGTCAGAGGCAGGCGGTGGGTTCCTTTGCTGGAGGGTCCCTGTGCCCAGGGACAAACTTTCCTCCTCCTCCTCCTCCTCCTCCTCCTCCTCCTCCTCCTCCTCCGCAGTTTTCAGTCTTTGTGCTGGATGAACGCTTCCCCCTGGTGCCTGTCCTGTGCTGGGAGCACATGATGCAGCGGCCGCCCATCTACGCCCACCTCGCACCTGCCAGGCCTCCACAGACCAGCCACAAGGTGCTCCTGGGCGCCCACCACTCCCAGGAGATGCTCCTGCTGCAGTACTCAGGTGGGCATGGGAAAGGGCCCTGCACCCGCCACCGGCTCCTGGCGCTGAGGGCGGGGCAGCCTGGGTGCCGCGGGACTCTGAGGTTGCTGGGCTGTCCCCACAGGTGGCCACAGCTTCCCTTGCCAGCTCCAGGGTGCGCCCCAGAAGCTGCCATCCATCAGGGACTGCCTGCCCCACTTCCCTGTGCAGGTGCCTGCGAGGCAGAGGGCCCTCAGCCAGCGTCTCTCGGTCCCCACAGCAGGTAGGGAGGGGCCGGGCGAGGCGGTGTGGCTGGCATGGGTGCCGGAGGGAGGGAAACGGGCTTTGCACTCACTCCCACGAGGCTGCAGCAGGGGGCGCTCTGGGTTGCCTCCCTGCAGCTCCAGGCTGCCATCACTCCCCCCCCCCCCAGCCAGATCCAAGAACCAGACCAGGCTCCCCCCTCCTGCCAATAATGGGGCAGAACCTGGCACAGAAGGGAGGTTAGGAGGGGGGTCCCTCCTCCCCTCTGCAACCCAGAGTGCCCGGAACCTCTTCTAGCTAAGCACATCCTGAGGGGGGGGCAACCCCTCCTTTTCCCCGGATCCCCCACTTGCTTCCTTCGGCCCTTCTGCATGTGGTCAAGCGTGTCCCACCCACCTGGCAGAACATGCGACCCTTCCTCACGTGCATTGCCCTCCCCACAGCCAGGTCCATTTTGGGGAGGGGGGCATGTGATGACATCTTTCCCAGGAGTCACTGCCTCCCCCAGATGGTCCTCTTTTCCTGGGCTCGGCTCAGGGGTGGGTGGGTTCCTCCTTGGGTGGTCTCAGAGACCCTGTGAAAAAGATAGGCTGGGAGAAACCTTTCCAGAGGGGGAGGGCTGTACGTGCCCCTGCCTGACCCCCCCCCCTTTTCGAGCTGGCCCCGAGCAGGGGGGCATTATGCCATGCCTGACTCATACCTTTGAGGTGTGTCCCCTCCCCTGCTGTTCCAGCTGGGCTTCAGGAATTGCCCCCCCCCCCGACGGTCCGCCTTCCGCCCCCCGCCCTCCCCCCCCCCCCCCCCCCAATGCAGGCATTGCAGCAGCCCCGGGCCAGAGGGAGGGCATCCAAACGCTGCTGGTCTTCCAGCTTTCCGAGGCCGGGGACCTCTTCTACCAGGCGCTGCTCCCACAGGCCAGTGGGGAAGAGGCGGAGGGGCAGGCTCCCTCCCACGCGGACTCTGGAGCTGCTGTGGTGGGCAGGCCCCACCAGGACCCCGTTTCTCCAGACGGAGCCAAGACCGCTTGTAGCCCGGGGGCTGCAGCCCTGTACCGGCACTGGCTGAGGGCCTGGAAGCGGACCGCCCCACCTGCCCAGGACCGGCAGTGCCCTCCAGCCACGCTCCACCAGGGCTGCCTCTTCACCCACCAAGAGTTGAGGGAAACCGGGGGCAGCTCCCCGTCCTCACTGCAGGCTTCCCGCCGCCTGCACAGGGCCATGCGGGAAGGGCACCTCTCCTGGGGGGAGGAGAGTGGGGTCCCCGTGCCCCCTGCCCCCCAGGGACCCCCGGGGGAGCTTGGCCAACGACTGGCGGCTTCCTGGGCGGGTGACTGGGTGACCTGGTGGCTGGAGAGGCTGGGCTCCACCAAGGCCCGGCGACAGCAGGAGCTGAGGGAGCAGCGGAGGCGAGCCAAGCGGCGCAGGGGGACGCAGAGCCTCTCCGGCAGCTTCACCTCCTCCACCAGCTATCAGTCGGAGCCCAGTGACTGGTCGGGGGACTGGTCCCGCCTTGCCCCAGTGACTGGTCCCGCCCTGCCCGCGGAGCCCCCCGTCCAGGCTCCCCCCCCTCTGCTGCCCAGTTCCCAGGAGGGCTCCCCAGGGCTGCTCTCCTCACAGAGCCTGAGTGCCCGGGGCATCCCCCGTGAGCGCCGCCAGACCCTGCGCAGGTACCTGGCTGTGCTGGACCAACCCCCGGAGCCCCCCGAGGACGATCTGCCCGCCAGCCAGGCTTCGGCCCTGGGCAGCAGCCAGCGGGGGCCCTTCTCTTCCCAGGGGCCCCAGCCCAAACGGGCCCGCATGGGCTTCTGACAGGCGAGGGGGGGGGGGGGGCCAATAAAGGGGGGGGGGGCAAAAAGGGGGGCCCTTTCCCGGCCGGGTGCCTGGCCTGGCGGTTGGGGGAGGGGGGGGGGGAGGTTCCTTTTCCTGAGCAGGGGGAGGGGCTGGGCCGGCAATCCCTTGTTCCGCCGCTGGGGGCAGAGTGCGGGAGTGCGCCTGCGCTTGGCCGAGGGGGCGGTGCCAGCAAGCATGGCGGCGGCGATGGGGGTGAGGGGGCTGCTGGCCCGCGCCTGGGGGCGTCCAGGACAGGTAGGGCGGGGGGGCGCCTCCTCCGGAGCCCGCCCGCGGGCTTTCTCGGTCCGCGACCACGGCGGGCGGGTCGGGCGCAGCGGGGTGACTGGCCGCCGTCTGTCCGGCAGAGGGGCCTGGCGGCGCGCGGACCGGGCGAGGAGGTGGAGCGGGCGCAGCGCACGGCTGAGCAGCCCGGCCCCACCGTCTTCAGCCGGATCCTGGACGGCTCCCTCCCGGCGCACCTGCTCTACGAGGATGACCAGGTGGGCGGCGGCGCCAGGGGGGGGGGCGGCGGCGGCGGGGGGGGGCGCAGGAGGCTCAACGCGCGCTCGCTCCCCGCAGTGCATCGCCTTTCGGGACGCGGCGCCGCAGGCTCCGGTGCACTTCCTGGTGATCCCGCGCCGGCCCCTCGCGCGCATCAGCCGGGTGGCCGAGAGCGACGCCCAGGTGAGCCGGGATCGGGCCGCGCCCGGCCTGGGCAGAGGGTGAACTGCGGGGCGGCGGGCGGGGATGGGGCCGCCACGAGCCTGGCGAAGGCCCCGCGCCGTCCGCCGATGCTTCCCTGCCTCCTGCTGGGACGCTGGATCCTAATCTCGGCTCTGGAGCCTGGCACGGAGGGGGGAGGGAGGGGGGGCTCTGCGACCACCCCTCGATCTCCCTCCCTCCCTCCCTGCCCAGCTCCTGGGACACTTGCTGGTGGTGGCCAGCCAGACCGCCAAGGCGGAAGGCCTGTCGGAGGGCTATCGAGTGGGTGAGTAGAAGCGATGGGGGGGCTGCCTTGCCTGGTAATTCCTGGAGCCCAGTGAGGGGGGATGGTGGGACGCCTGCACCGATCAGTCCTGTGGAAGACACGCCCCCCCTCCCGGTTGCCTACCTTCCTGCCTTTGGTCGTCTGAGTCCGTCCTTTGGATCTGTGTTGGTTCTCTGAAGGCTTTGGGGGGGGGGCTCAGCAGACGTCTCCCATGCCTCCCTCCCCAGAGGCCCTACCTCAAACAGAGCCGGTGGGAAGCCCCACTGTGGTCCTGGGGGGGAGGGGTTTGGGGTTTGGCTCTTCCTCCTGCTGCCAAGGGCCCCCTCCGACCCTTTCTCCTTCCTCTTGCAGTCATCAACGAGGGCAAGCACGGGGCGCAGTCCGTCTACCATCTCCACCTCCATGTGCTGGGGGGACGCCAGTTGGGCTGGCCGCCCGGCTGAGCAAAGCTCTGCTGTACAGGAGCTGCTCTCAATAAAGGCCTGCGCTGGGCGGGCGGCAGGGAGCCTTGGGGGCTGCGTGGGCCTCTTTCTTCCCAGGGGTTGCCTTGCTGGTCCTGGCCGAGTGCGGCTGATGGGGACCGTCCAGAGGCCTTGGGGTTTGGATCAGGTCGGGGAGTTGAAAAACCAGGCAAGGAAACCTCGTCCAATAACAGAAAATGCCCAGGAGCCTCCCTGGTAGTGACTCCCCCCCCCCCCGCCTGCCTTGGGACCCACAGCTGGGCGGCATTCTGAAGCCACCGCCTGGGAAGTGGTGGGTGAAGAAGGGGGTGGTCTCCTCTGCGGCCACAGGGGTTTTCTTATTAATCAGACTTCTAGCCTGGTCAGCCCTGGATGGCTCGGCATATAAAAGCCATGAAACCAAGAAACAAAACCCCAGAGAGGAAGCTGAAGAAGGCCGGCACGAGCAGGGAGTGTTCAAAGGGGAGCCCTTCTAAAGCAGATTCTGGCTTTGCAGACTGGGGGGGCGGGGGGGGGAGAGGAGGATGGTTTTGCACAAGCAGCTGGCAGGCACGCAGCTCCATTGGCACGAGCAGTGTGCCCACGTGCCTGCCGCTCACTTAAATGGAATGCACGCTCACCCACTGCTTGCACGAGAGAGGATGTGCGTGTGCTTGCCGGCCGTCTCCACTGCCTCGTTGCAAACCCCTCACGGCCCACAGGTTGGGGACCCTTGTCTTAAAGGACCTCAGTTGGGGGTGGGGGAGGGGAGCTGCAGTTCCGGAAGACCCTCTTCTTGGGTCCTCCTGAATCACATTATTTTGTTGGTGGGAGAGCAACATTGAGGGCCACATCATTGGGATCCCGTGATAACCAGCACAGCTGGCATTGCCCTCACTGCTCTGACTGCTGCATTCTGGGCCAGCCGCAATCTCCAAATAGCCTCCAAGGGCAGCTCTGCGTACAGCACATTATAACAACCCATCCACAAACTGGCCAGGGCATGAGGGAGACAGCGTGGGCCTCCTGGGCCAGGAAAGGCTGCTGCCCCTGGCACACAAGGGAAGCCTGCCAGGCCTTCTTGGCTGGGGCTGCGGCCTCCTTCAAGCAGCAGCTGTGAGCCTGGAAGGAAGCAGCCCCAGGGTGTGCAGTGGCCCCAGACTGCATCGCATGGTCACACTCAGAGCCAAAGAGGAGGATCCCAAACGTTGGGGAGGGGCAACACCTCTACTCAGTCTTGCTAGGTTCGCGCTTGAGCTTTCCACCCCCACCGGAAAAAAACTGGCAAGGTCCTGGGATGCCCTTTGGCTGAACTCGGGTTCAAGATGCCCAGCTGCTCACCACTGGCTGGCTGCCTTGGGAGAAGAGAAGGTGTGCATCTTCACAGGAAGGACGCTTAACCTCGGACAGGTGACCCCGACACAAGAGGCCCCCTGTAGGAATTAGGTGAAAGGGCGAGAGCCTTGAGCAAGGCTGCCTCTCACCTCCTCTGGAGAAAGGAGGAGAATCACCCCAATGCCTCCCTTCCACTGCAAGCTCTCCACACGTGTGAGCCACGTTCCTGCCTGGGAAGGGTCTCCCTAATCCAGCCTTTCTGGGGCCCTCTGCAACTAGCCCAACCCCAACCCCCTTCTGCAGCCCTCCCAGGTAAGAGGCCACTGGCTGCAAGGGAGGCTCTGTGATGGGGGTGCTGCTTCCTCCAGGCCCGGCACGTGTCGCCCCCTCCTCAAGCAGGCCCCTGTCACTGGATCCGCTGGCCTTCCAGGTGGCCTGAGCCAGGCCGGAGGGATGGGAACCGGAAGGGCAGGGGAGGTCCTGGACCTTTTGCTGGAGTGCTTCCCAGGTGAGCAGGTAAGGCAGCCTCTGACACCACAGCTGGGTCAGCTTGGCCCAGCCGAATCCCAGCCGCTTCCTCTGCCAGCGGCCTGCGCAAATCCTCCCAGCAGCTTAGCTGGCGCTCTTGAGGCTCCCCCCCCCCGCCCCCCAAGAGGATTGCTGGTTGGCTGCCCAGGTGTGAGAGGAGTGGAGAAATCTGTACCTTGGGCTACAGACAAGCCCGCAAAGTTAATATGGCTCTCATGCAGCTCTGGTTGGACTTGTCATTGTGTTCCTCCTACACGCGCACGCACAGAGAGAGAGAGAGAGAGAGA